CTTTATGATTCTATGATTCTATGATTTAAGAGTTACAAAAAAATTCCAGCATAGTGTACAATATCCATACACTCCAGTTATTTGGGGCGGGATGTATGCAGATGCTGGAGCAGTGCCAGAGTTAATTTATGAGGCCAATCATCATCTGGAGTCTCTGCTGAAGAAAACATTGTTCCTGAATCTAAAATTCCCAGTAAATTCTGTGCTCTAAATTGGGAGCACAGAACTGAGACTCACTATCAGTGTCTTCTGATAAGTGGTAAGATGACTCCCTAGGAACCAATGGCTGCAAAGATAAATGTCTCAAGTGTATAAATGTTTTAGTTAGATCTTAGTAAGTTATTCCCTGTGGAGTTGATGTTCATCTCTAAAGGTAAGTGAATCTCTTCAGTTATCTGGAGACGCTAGATCTGATACTGCAGAGCCCAACCACTACCTATGTACTTCCCATGCACTAAACGTACAGGAATGGGAAAGGAGATTTCGAGACTAAGACACAAACTACTGCACATATTCGAGGAAAAGGATCGCTGAAGAAAAGGAAGCTGAAACAAAGAGCAACACAGCAAGTGGTAAGGATACCTTTCCACCTTTCAACTCTTCTTTCTTCAACTAGGAAAGATGCGATTTTATCTCTTTCCCACCCAGTCCTGGAAGAACACTTTACAATGACTTCCACAGCACCACAGGGCATGTCTACACGAGCACTGCAGTTGGGATAAGGGGTGTGCTTCTGCAGAAACTCCCCACTGTCCCCATTAACTGCACTTCAGCAGGCATCACAGAGAAGTCTCAGAGAATATGAACTGGATGAAACCAAACATGAAAATGCATTTCAGGAGCGCACCTACTCCACTCCAGATGTAAACAAACAGTAAATCCCCAGCACACTGAACTAGAGTTAGCATGAAACAAATCCTTCTGAAATACATAGCATCAAGCCTTCCCCAACAACTCTTCTCTAAAAAGCTGCTCTAACTCATCTGCACTACTTTGGTAAAGTAAACACTGCCACAGAACACCATCTAGAATGGGTGCTTACAAAAATGTTCTGAAGAGGGAACAGGGAGGTAGAAGAGCAAACAGATCAGAGTAGCTTGGTATGAAACAACTTTTACTGATAGTAGCAAGCACACGTTACTTCAAGCTCAGCTTCTTCCTGCCAAACTCTTCCCAGATGCCAAGTAAATGGCTCAAGGAATGCAAAGAGGCAGCCAGGCTAGGTCCAGCTGGACTCTTAACCTGAATGCCAAGATGGTTAACTTCCCAGAAAAGCCACGCTCTAAGAAAACTGAAATAGGCAGCAGATAACCTGCAAACACCTACATTACAGTTGTCTCCTCTCAGGGGACTCTAATGATCATGGGTTTTAGTGGAATTGGGATTATTTCACTGGGCACATGCAGCTTTTATTTTGAGAATTCCTCCACAGGAGCTACTAAAATAAAAAGGCTAAGTCAACAATCAGTAGGTGAACATACTCATTTTACACAAGTTAACTTTCCTGAAGAAATAAAAACAGGCATATTTCCTTACTTGAAGGAAATAGGTCAGGCAAGTAAGATTTGTTTGACTGACAGGGGAAAAAGAAGGAGAAAACCCCAATCTATTCTTGAATTAAAAAGAGAGAAAATAGTAAATTTGATTGAAACACTGCTAAATATGTAATGTATTAAACCCCTACCCCAAAGAAAGGGCTTTTTTGAAGCTTTTCTTCCTGCTTCACCTATATGATTTTCTGAAAAAATCTAACCGTTTCGGAAAGACTGCTCAGAACAGTTTGGGTAACGAGCCAGAACTGCCTGTTGATGTCATTCCCCCCACCCCCGCCTTTTTTTTAATAAATTGTATTGAAGACATATGAATACTCCTATTTCCTTTTTACTGCAAAGGGGGTGTGCCGAATGCCAACCCTATATGTTAGGTGATTTGAGTATCAGAAGTGTAAAGATACCTTGAAATTATGATTCTTCTTTTGAATACATGCTCCTATCTTTGCTAGTGAAAAAGAGGAACAGGTAGAAACTAGATACATTAGTGTTAAAGATTTTCAGTATCCCCATGAGCACTGTGCTAGCTTCTCTTAAGGAACCTATTGTGGGACCTTTGCAGAAATCAACCCATGTTAAAAAGTGTCACAGCAAACACTTTATGCCAAGTCAGTAAGCAGTGGTAACTGTGTGCTTAATTTTCTGTCTTAGTTCCCATGCAGCTTGTTAAACACTGACAAAAGTTTTGTAAAACTACCTAAATATGCACAGTTATAAATGTGCCCTTTCCTAATCCGCTACAGCTAATTTGAAACCAGGGACTATTTTTGAACACACTTATGCTTTCCAGAGGACATTACCTTGGACTTGTCTACACCAAGTTTGGTTTCCCATCATTCTGTCTCCATCCACTCTGCTCCTCTAGTCTTGACTAACTTTAGAAACTCTGTCATCATCAAGTTCTTGCATGGCAGTTCTCTTCTTCAGATCCCTAACAAATGAACACAGGTCTCACTCAGTAGAGATCCGCAGGTGCTCAGTCCACAACTTCTTGTTTTGCAAAACTAAATAATTCTTTCTGAATCACCTCATTATGATAATTAACTAAATTTAAAACTAAATAGCTTTATTTAAAAAAACAAACAAACACCTGCACTACAGAGAACCTCCCACCCCGGTTTTACTAACTCAGTCATGTAAGACTGCAATCCTTCATGACAAATGCCATAGGTGTATAATGGTTATGAGCTGCCTGAGTATGGGATGAACTCAATTTTCATTACAGCACAGCAATTTCAAACACAGCACCAGTTAAGTGCAATGATACACCTAAATATGCTGGCACAGGACCTGTAGGGCTTTCATTACCTTTTAACATGTACTACTACCCCTGTTTCAAAAGAGGGCGTCTCCTTTTGGCAATTTCCCTTTGCCACACATTCCCCAACAAATGCCATGGTCCACGGGTCCTAGGCTGTGGGTCTTGTGCGGCCTAAGATCAGTGGAGGCTGACACCATTCTCCCATCACTGAGTTTTCTTGAGGCTCAGTACTGACATTTCATAAAGATCTATTTAATCCCATCCTGTCTCTGACCCCAGCACAATTTTCTAAACAAGTAATTTGTAAATTTTACAGAAAGTTCTCTGATTTCTCAACCTAAGATTTCTTTCACACAGGATTACATCTTTTTGCTTGCACCTTTTCTAAAGGAATCCCAAACTTGAGGCTGAACTGAAAATCCTGGAGCTCCCTGCTAAACCAAACAGCAGGTGGAATAGGAGCAGCTGAAGCACATGTCATTTCTCACTGAAGTACCTTAGACCTGACCAGCAGGATGACACAAGTGGCAGAAGTGAAATTCAAGTCCACTCTCTGGATTCTTTGGAGTGACTATCAAAGAGGCCTTCTAGCACAGTAGTCACAGGGAGTTTTAGAGTATGGATATCCATACCCATGAGACTCATTGACTCACTTCACGCAAACTAGATGCAGATACAAAGTTACATGAGTTTGAAGACGCAACAGGGAGAGGCAGTAAGCACTCTCTTCGTCACCCTGAGCATTTTGATTTGTAAGCCTGTGCTTTTATTCTGGTTATCCAAGAACACATTCAACCACCATATCAAAGCTGAATAACCACCAATGGGATGAGTTGTCCGTCTGTAACAAGATCACATGCACAGCTAAAGATGTTCTTGACAAGAATACAAATCTTTCTGCTAGATCACCTCATCTTCTTGCAGTGGTCAATGGAAAAACCCAAAACCCCATTTGGGAAACCTTATCTTCTGCTTTTGCAGGATTTCTTCGTGAATTGTGATTGCTTCCGCCCTCCCTCTTTGACTTTGACAAGCTCAGTGCTGGGCCCACTGGAAATACCTGGCTTCATGCACATTTTTTAATGCAAACACCTTCAATGTTCTACTTGGATTTTCCAGGAAAAAAAAGTTTTTGTTTCAAATCAAAATGATTAAGAAGATACAAATAACAAAATGTCTGTCCCAGGAAACAAAAGTCCTTGCAACTACTCAGCAGTTTCTACTGAAATCCCACCAGTCGTCTTATTTCTTGATAGATGGGGGCAGCCAGTTCTTTGGCTTTCTCTGCTCCATCCTCTAAAACCTTTATCAGATGGGATGTGTCTTCCTGGAGTTTCTTGATTTCATTCCTGATAGGTGCAAATTTTTGAATAACTGACTCTGCTACCACCATTTTGTAGTGAGCAGTGTCGAGACCAGCAGATTGGTGCAGCACTTCTTTGATGCTAAGCCCCGTTACTGCAGCATGAATGGACACCAGATTGGAGACACCAGGGCGACCAGCTGGGTCGTAGGTCACCTCAGAGGTAAAGTCAGTCACAGCTTTGCGGAATTTCAGCACTATTTCATCAGGGCTGTCCGCTATGTTAACAGTAGCTAATTTCTGTGGGTCTGACTTGGACATCTTCACTGTTGGATCTCTGAGGGATTTTATTTTCTTTGTTGTACCTTTAAAAAAAAACCAAAAGGGAATAATTACGAACACACACAGACAACCGTTTCTTATGACAATTGCTAAGAACACCTTGTAGCAGCATGACTAAGTTCTCTGTTTATCCTTGCTTAAAAATGAGTTGTGAGCAAAATCGCGTACGCTCCTATTTAGTCCTTATGCCCTCCATGCCCTTCTAAGCCACTTTTCTCCTGCTACAAACTAAATGAAAACCTGCTCTATTTCTCATCTCCTCACTAAGCAGAAACTTCTGCTGGGACACTTCCTAATATTTTCCATGGCTACATGCTGATCTTCCCCGAAAACTCTCTCCTCTCTTGTATTCCTGGCACTGGGGACAAGTTACCTAGACAGCACACGCTGCACGTTACTGAAAGGTTCTGTAGCAGTGGAGAAACAGGTTAAATCCACTGGTAATAAAGAATCCCAGAACAGTTAATCTTCCACCCAAAATCTCTTGGTAATTCTCCTAAATACCAATAAAGACAGTCATTAAAAATTCCCTAACTGAACACTAACCAGCTCCATTAGAGAGAAAGCACTGTTCAGATAAGAGAGGTGTGGGTATTATACAAACTACTAAGATATATGCGTGTACATGAAATAGAATAGTAGCATACGGGAATATTGCAAAGTACTTTCTTTAAGAGCATAAATCCAAACAGTTTCAGTCTTTCACCAAGAAACATCATTCATGGAGTACACAAAGTACACTGATCTGGAAAGTACTCACACCAATTGTTTTTAGACACCTAATACAGCCAACTAAATTACCCGCATACTCCTCACAGACGGCCTATGTACTCAGTGAAAGGATAAGTATTCTTCCAGGGTACAAGTCAGACTGCCCCAGAAATTGCTGTGTTCTGAATCACCTTTTGGAAGGGTCTGTCTCTTTTCTGCACATTTGAAGGAGTCCAGGTAATCTAACTGTCTACAGCTAGTGAGTCTGAATAGGTCCCTAACTCCTCCATTCATCTAGGATATTTCATTAGTTTGCATATACTTGTGCACTTATGAAGGTATGCTTTTCATGAGGAAAGTTTAAATGTTTGGGGTTTTTTTTCTTTTTTTTTTTTTCTTTTTTCCTTTTTCAAACTGAGCTTTTTATTTCCTGGGAAACAGTCTCACCTGCATCATAGGCTACGCTCAGCTCCTCATTACAGTGCTTAGTATTTAATTGTTCATTAGAAACTGCAGAGCTTGCAACACCTAGTATTCTCTAAGCTCCACTCTGGGTCTAACACCATTTTTGTCACTGAGGCTTGAAAATTGAGAAAGGTTTATTACTGCCTGTCTTTTCTAAGATGAGAGCTCCTTGCCCTTTTAGGGGCGAAGGTCTCTGCTGTGCATTCCTCTACATTACTTACAACAAAGATGCAATGCTTCTTCCTTGCCCAATTCTTCACGTTTCTTAACAAACGTGCCATTTGCGCCATCTGACTCCTCCTCACCCCCCGGCCTATGACCTTATAGCTCAAAAATGGCTGAGAAGATTTTCCTTCTAAGTCTCCCTGAGTCTAAGATCAAAAATGGGAAATCTAAACTCTGTAAGAGACCCTTACTGAAATATGCAAGTATATTATTAAACACACTTAAAAGATTTTTGAGCATTGTAGCAATAAACTTACAAGCTGTTTAGCATGCTTCATGTAAACATCTACCACTCAGACACTGAAGAATTCTGTTTGGTAGAGGTCTCGTCTTGTTCCTTACATGTCTCCTGAACTAGCAACATGGATCAGAGACCCTACTCTTAAAAGGTCCAATACTCGAAGAGCAAGGCTGACTGGCAGCAGCAGAGTGCATCTGGCCCCCTGGACTAGAATACCAGACGTCGCATACATTCCTCTACCGGGGATTTGTAAAGCCTTATGTCTATCTTGGGAATTCAATTTCACAGCCTTTAGTCTCTTGTTGTCAGTTTTTAATTTTCCAGTCCCTTAGCATCAGTTTGCTCCCTTTTCTTGGTCCCTGAAACTACTTCCACAATATTTAAATCCATTTTCAACCTTGAAGTGCAGTTAAGGGGAAAGAAAAAAAGCAAACCAAGACCAGCTCACTTAAAATGGCTTTGGGCACAGGAAAGAATTCTCCGTATTTCTTGTTGAAATGTTGTGCTATATCTTGGGCTAGTTCCAGGTGCAGGACTTGATCTTCTCCAACAGGAACATGTGTCGACCTTTTAATAAAAGACAGATACAGGAAACTCAGCAAAGCTCTCCGGTTCTGCTGAAATGTTACTCAAGAGTGTCACAGCTTCTGCCATGACTGAGGGCCAGACTGAGCCAAACACTCAGTCCCAACTAGATATAGGTGCTGTGGGAACAAGACCTCAAACTGACTGTATCCCAGGATGAGTCTGCTTTTTGTGCTGAACTGAAGCATGTCTCCAAGGGCAAAAATAGCCCTTCACAAAAACATACACGGTAAAGATACCAGTAAGAGCAAATCATTAAACTCAGCTCAAAGAAAGGTTTTTGTAGTATCTCCTGCTGTCTCTTTAGAGATCAAAGAGCATGTGTTACAGTGTGCGAACAAAGTAAGAAAGATCTGCAAGGCAAAAAGCGCAAGCACCTTGTCTTGTCAAGTCTCAGGAAAACATAACTGTTGTTGAGAAGTTAGTACTGTGGATTTATCAAGGAAAGGAAAGAAGAGAGTGGTTCTTCCTCATGGGTCACCATTACAAAAATTTCACGTGGGCCAGTGCCTCTACTGCCACAAGTGTTATCATTCATAGATTAGAACTGTTAGGATCAAAGGATCATTTGATCTTCTGTATTGAACTCAATAGCTTGAATACAGTTCTGGAGGAAAACACAATCTGCATCAGAAGACATGAGGAGGTGAAGAATCCATTACTTCCCCTGGTGATTCTTTCCCACAGTTAATCATACTCGCTAAAAATGTATGATTCTTTTAGATGAGGCAGACTTGAAGTCTTGCCAGGTTCTGATTACTTTCCCCTCCCCCAGCAGACTTTTTTTCTAAGGCTTGTGGGGTATTCAGCTCTGAATCCTGGATATGTTCCAGTGTAAGAAAGTTCACTATGCATCTTTTAAGTTGCCAGAAAATTTCAGTTCAACATGGTACTCCTTCCTTCCGATTCTGAATTACTGGGCTGACATCCAGGAATCAATTTGTCCACCTTTATTCCCCACCAAACAGTCAGCAAGGCAACTTAAAAACAATTACAGTAGCCATTAGGAAATCACAGTGGCCCACAACTAACAGAAAGAAAATCAGTTACCATAATCAATATACTTTAAGCAGGTCAAAAGAAATGTTTCCATATGCCAAAATGGTTCCATATTCACAAAGTTTGCCACTAAACAGAAAACACATTGTCTTTATAAATGCCTCTGCATGATTCTTTGCCTTTTTCCTTGCCGTTTTTTTTAATATTTCTGTCCTGGTGCTATTTTTATTCCTTTCTGTCATATATTTACCTTCTGTCCGTTTTCCTGTTTCTTTGATCCTTGGTTCATCTGAATTAGTACTGTTTCTCCCCCTCCTCCAGCTCTTAATTCTTCTTCACGACTGCCGTTCCCTTTCTGTGTTTCCATTTCTCCCTGATTCTTGTTCCCTATATTATGTTTTTACATTAAAACATTTCTTATTAAAGATATTATGTCAAATTTCTTCAAAGAGATATTGTTTCTCTTTCACTTCCTTGTTTTGTGCTCCGACTGGACAGCCTGCTGTTAATACACATGGTAGCAAACAAACCACAGGCTTCACTAAGGAATGATGAATCACACGATCTTATTAGAAATGGAAAAGACATATACATGATGGAGCTCAATCAAAACAAGGTGATTTCTGTTGTTGTCTAAATTTCACCCTTAAACACTGCTTGACAATCAAATGGGACTCACTGCTTAGAAGATTATTTTAATGTTTAAATTAATTCTGATTTTTGCTTCCCATTATTTTTAGTTAAAATTCAAGTGAATTAGAAATATCATCTACTGGTCTTCTAACATTACTGTTTTCCCTTACTAATGATCACTTAGGATTAAATTTCTCTAGATAGATTTTCCTGTGTTAACAACTTGCCAATCTTGGTTACTCTGTCCTCCTAAAGTCCCCGCCCTCATAGTTCTGTACTACTTCTCTGTCCCAACAAATAATCACAACTTCACTTCAGAACAACTCCACAAAGTACATACGCTCAGAACATAAAAATAATTAATACATAGTGCATTGTCTCTGACATTTACTTATTGAGACAGTTTAAAATATATTATGAAATACAACCAGTCATGACTACAAGTTCCATCAGCTACACCACAAACTTAGGCATGCTGAGTCACCAGTCCCTCATTAGGGTGTATTTCCATTGCAGCACACAGAAAATTGAACTAGCCCAGGTACCAGAAGGTGCAGTAAATTACTCACTTTTTCATCAGTATCAACAGGCCTACACAGAATCCCACACTAATATGGTATATTATATACAGCCAGCTTAAGTATCTCTGCAGTACAACACATAAAATAAAGCATAACTACTTAAAAAAAAAAGTATATGTATGTGTGTGAACATGTAATATGTATAATTAAACATCAGTGTGTCATAATTCCCTAAGAACTGTTCTGAAGTGACCAGCTTTTTCTCTTTACAGCCCTGTCAGCTGCTTTCAAACCAGGCTAGATTTCAACCAGCCACTTGAGAGGTGAAAAAGCTGTCATCCATTTCCAATCTTCTGATCTAATCACACCCAGCTCCTCCACCTAATAAGTTAGCATGTTGACCTAGCGAACATTCATTTTAATACAGCTGAACAGACAGTGACCATGGGCTCACATTCTGCCTCTTACTTGTACAGCAAAATATCTGCTGCTTGAAGCACAGGGTAAGTCAACAAACCAACAGTTCCTTCATTATTCTGGCTGGCACGCTTCATCTGTTCGCAAAAGAAAAACAGAGAGAAATCACCCTTTTGGCTAACGGTATCAAAGTCTGTGATTTTAATTAATTAGAATTCTGATTCATTTGAGTAACTTATTGTGTAATTCTAGAGAAAAGAGTGCCATGTAAAATCCTTTCCTTGTGAATACACACATCCCATTTTATGTTCTATATTTATGAATTTCCCTGCACTGTTTTGATATTGTAGTGGGGAGAAAACACAGGCTTGTGTTTTCTTTCTGTTTGTAATCTACTAACGAAAATGATTACAAACGCAAAACAATCAGGCTGGGTTATTACACTTATTATTGATAACCCCTACTTTTTAAACAGCATTTTCAGCAGTAAATTTTTGAAACACTTTATAGTAAGATATAAAAAGGCATTAATACCTGTGCTTCACAGAAAAGAGATCAAGACATAGTGGTCACACAAAGTCACCAGGAGAGTCAGTGACAGCTAGGAGGAGAACCCAGAACTACTGAGGCAGAGTCCCGTGTTCTCTCCATTAGTTCACACTGCTCCCAACAATCCACCCACTGTCCTGAAGTCCTTTACCGCTTTAGGATATGGATCATTTAAACCAAGACAGTCAGGCTACAGATGCTCATTCTGTTCTAGCAACGGTATATTTACTTTTTGCTTTTAACAACAGTTAAATACACTAAAATCCTTAAAACCTTAATTATTTCATTAAGAATATTCAAATATCTTTAGATTTTTCTCACCCTCTCATACAGATCCTGTCTTCTGTCTACATCTCTAAGTGCCTAGGGTTCAGGGGACCTAATTTGCAAAGCCTAGTACCTGTAACACCTAGCTGTAGATCTGGAAAGTCAATCCAGTCAAAATTGGATTGAAGAGCTTAACCTTAGAACCTCAGGTTTGAAAAGGTTGGCTTTAATCTATGCCATACATTAACGCTGGTTGCTGTATTTAAGTTTTACTGTTTTTATTTAATTAAGAAGAAAAACAGGAAAAAAGAAAACATCTGGAGGTATTTAAGACTGCTCTGAACTCTGCAAGCTAAACTGCTCTTAAGATTTTTTTTTTCCCCCCTTTTTTCATACTTCTCTCTCCTGCCTTTTGGTTTCTCTGCTTACTAAATGCCAAAATACAATACAAGGAAATTAAATGCAAGAATTCAGTTGATGCAGTCATGCTGATGCAGTACCAAGATTAAGAAGATGAACACTTGAAACTTGTAAAGGCAAACGTTCAAGGTGCATTAACTTTATCACTCAGCACATTTTTAATATTTATAATTTCTGTACTCCTCTTCCAACACATGCTTCTTTTGCACCCTCTTCCATAAAATCTACAGAACAGCCACTCTTCACGGTGGAAAAAGAAAAGCTGTTTATGGAACTCCTTAAACAGCAAGGCTCAAGGTTTCCACTGCAATATCTTGCAGTTGTTTTGCATTACTAAATAAGCATTGAAGTAACTCCTAGCATTCTAGCAAAATCAATTTAACAACACTAAACAACCCTTCTATTTCGTACAGTTTCTGCAAGTCTCTGCCAAAAATATTATTCTGTAGCTTCCAGCAGAAAAACGTTCACTGAAGGTAACAGACCTGGAAAGACACATTTTGCTCCTTCCACCATAGGACTAGAGAATTACTTAGACCTAAAGCAAAGAAAACCAAGCTACAGTTGGTACTTCACAGATAACAAGTATTTCAAGGACAGCAGTTCTACGGAATTCCCATACATTTCCTTTCAACTTACGAAACTCTCCATACCTTCCATTGGGGCAAGCGTAGCAGACGTGGCACATTAGTTAAGCACCCAAGAATCCAGGCAAGTTCTGCATGCTCAGGAACCTAGAAGTACAAAGTCAGAATCTATTTTATCTTCTGCATTTATATGCATATTTTCTCAAAATCAATATAGATAAATAGTATCAGAGATCAGAAAACCATTTTTTTTTTTGTCTATTATTTTTTCAGTAAGGTCAAGTGACAAGCTAATGGAAAGTTTTGGACACCACATGGATTGAATGCGCTACACTCAAGCAGCATAGCAAGATTCTTGATCCTATCTAAGAAAGAAAGAAAATGCTTTAGCAATAACAGAGTTGAACGCACATGTAAACTAACCAACTGCTGGCCACTGTGCCACAGCCTCCCCACACTTTGCAATAATACATTAATAGTTACAAAACCTCTTTGCTTTTCTCATTTCCAGTGCCAGTAAGTTACCCAAGCTTCATTTCTTCTGCATCAGGGCCCTGAATGCACTAATTTCCCTTAATTGTCCTCACCAGTCTCACCTGAGCCCTCCACCCATACTCTCTGCCCATGGCCCCAGGAGCCCCATTTAAGCTCAGGCCAGAATTCCCCTAGTCCTTGCCTGAGCTACATTACACTGTAGCATGTCTGGCAGGAAAACTGTGGGTCCTTCCAGAAACCTGAGCTAATGGCGAGGGAACAAGAAGAGCTGGGTTGCTCCACAAGGCTGTGGCTGCAGACAGCCACAAGCCAGTCAGAAACAATTACCTCCCTGACCAGGACAACATCCTGCAGTATTTAATCAGGGCAGGGGTGGTAACGGTAACGGTGACGGTCTGGTGATCATCAGACATAGCAAGGTAATTAGTCACATCCGAGGTCAACCCAGGAAGCCCAGTGAGCAAATTGGGGCAGCAGGGACAGGGTTGAGCACAGGTACACAGTGATGTAGCTCAGGTGAAGACTGGGGGCCTGAGCCTGAGCTTAACTGGAGCTCCTGGGGCACTGGGCAGAAGGTGCATGGGTGGAGGGTCCAGGTGAGGCTTGTCAGGGCTTTGGGTGCACCAACAGGTGTTAATATCCCTGACCTGTCTGCAAAACAGGGATAATAGCTGAAGTCGAACTACAGTATGGCCTGAATTGTGGCTTAATTTGTCCCTCAGCTTTGTAATCCTATCAAAACTAATACTGATCTGAAGGTGAAAGAGAAGGATCAGGCCTCCATGTACCTTTTGCTGCAAGGGTGGTCTGAAAAGATGAGAGAGGAAAGAAGATCCCATTTAAGCTCATACAACAAACTCTTCATTTAACATTCTGGGGAGACTGCGGTGATAGTGGAATTTTCATAGTTTCAGAAAGACATCAGAGTGATTGCCCCCTCCTGCTAAGAGGAAGACTTTCTACAGGTAGAGACAAGAAATGTGTTGTGCAACAACCTCTGTTGGATGAATCCATGGTTAGTTTCTTTATACACACCCTTCAGGTTTTGCATTTCAAATATTCATTTTAGGATTAGTAAAAGAGGCAAGCATTGCTGATGCATATGCTGTTCTTTAATTTCTTTCCTGCCATTTTGTCTGTTGTTAGTTAGCTATTTATACAATAATCATCAAAAGAAAAAGGTGATCTATGCTCTGGTCCTTTGCTTACATGTTTGATTTACTCTTTTCAATATTGGCAGGTTTGGATGTTTAAGAGTGTGCTAACTGTCTCAAAGATGTTCAAAGCTTCATGCTTGCAACATGATGTAACAACCCAGATGGAAGGCAGTAAAAAGCGTTTGTTAACAAGTAAGAATTACTAGCATTGTTAATGGCAATTCCTTTGTTGTCACATATTAAATGTAGTCATTTCCTAGCTAACAGTTATTAGACTATTTTGGTTGTCAATGTTGTACAGAGGTATCTGACCTCAAGACAACAGCTCAACGGTTAGAGAT